CTCCGGAGCCCCAGGGGGCTCGTTTAGGCACCGTTTGGGTACCTTTTCGGACCACCCTCGCCACCCCAGCATTTATGACCCCCCTTTTACGCAATTCCCAAAGCAAAGGAGGCCCTGGGACGCCGGGCTCGCCCTGGGACGCTGAGAGCCCCAGGGGTCGACGGCTCAAGGGCCACCCGCTGCCGCACCAGGGCAGCCATCGCGCCCCAAGGATCGGTGCCAGGGCCCTCACCGCTCAGGGGCCCTCTCGGGGGCTCCCCGCGCCCCCGCCCCGGCCATCGCGTCGGCGCGGGCGGTGCGGGCGGCGTGGGCAAAAAGCTGGGGAGAGACCAACGTCTCCGGCTCATCTTACGGAGGAGGAGGAGGAGGAGGAGGCGGAGGAGGAGGAGGAGGAGGAGGAGGAGGAGGAGGAGGAGGAGGAGGAGGAGGAGGAGGAGGAGGAGGAGGAGGGGGGGGGAGGAGAAGGAGGAGGAGGAGGAGGAGGAGGAGGAGGAGGAGGAGGAGGAGGAGGAACGGCTGGGTTTCCAGCCAGCACGGATATCAGAAGGGACGGGCCCTCGAGGACGGATGGCAGCCTGGAGTCGAACCCAGAGGCCGCCGTGGGGCCGGCGGGGACAAGACTCAGCACGATGAAGATGCCATACATTCCACAGGGCGCGGTTGTCGGTACAGGAAGGGATGCGGCCGCTGCTATGCTCATGAGTCACGAGGGAGGGCGAATGCGAGGAACTCAGCACGCGGCACTGCCTGGCGTGCGCCTTGCAGCCCCCCGAGCACGCCGCCCGCAGGCAGCCATGGACACTCCCCGCCTCCATCTCGCTTCACCACGACGGCAGCGGCGGCGACGCGGCGCCTCCGAGGATCCGACGAGTGGGCCCCGCCAGACCCCTTACCGAAAATGTGCACCACGTCGGCCGCAGCCGCAGTTCCCCTCGAGGAGTCCAACGTGGAGGCTCTCAGGCGCGGAGGCTCTCATGCGCAGTTCCCCTCCTCGGAGTCGTACCCCGCTCGGCGCTGTCGCTCGCGTGGCCACTGGCCCCCGCTCACCTCGACCAGGTCCTTGGCACACTGGTCCGTGGCGCCCTGCACCCAGACGTGCTGCAACTCGCGCTGGGTGTGCATCATGTTCGCGCCCTCGCCGAGGCTCTTGCCGTGCTCGTACAACGATGCAATCCGCCACATGCGACGGCGGTCATGGAAAACAGATCTGCCAGCAACTCCGATGAGGCGGCCACGGCTGCATCAGGGTCGCCGGGGCCAGGGATCCGCAACTCATCGACGCCATTTGCGCCGCCGTGAGTGGTGGGGCGGACCCACAGCTGCGGCGACTCAGGCCGCCAGCATGTGTCCAGCAGCATCGCGATGACGGCGGCGGCTGGCCCCCGAACAGGCTGCCAACGCCGCTTGCCAGCCCGCGTACGCTCGGCAACGAGTTTGGGCCAGGCTAGAGTGATGCGACGATGGAGGTGTGGCGAACGGCGTCACATGTCGAGCCACTGCTGCACCACGAGCCTGCGCAGCTCGAGCCCTGGGTCGCGCCTGTCGCACTGCGCCCTCGGCGTGGTGGTCCAGGGTCCAGCACCAGCCAGCCCTTTTGCCGGCGGCCGCAGCGGCGGCGAGGAGTAGGAAGAGGAGGGGCGAGTTGATTCCCCGCCGAGAGAAAAAGGGGGGCAATAACTAGAGACCTCCAAAGTGTACGACCGCTCGATGGTGTTCCCCGCCGGCGCGAACGGCCGACTTGGCCCTCGCGGGGGCGCTTCAGAGCCTCCGCGCGCCCGCGCCGCGCCGTGGTCCCCTGGGGCCCGAGAGACGAGGCACAACACCGCCCGCAGCGAAACACATGCAACGCCAAGATGTGGGCTGGGATCAGGAGGCGGGGAAGGAACGATAACCACGCAGAGCTACCCCGACATACACTGAGGCAGTTGGGTTAGGCCGCCTGAGGCCGCTCCTTGGCGACAAAAGCGACCTGCATCAAGCCCCGGTATCGAGTAAGCCAGACATGGCAGTGCGGTTGGCCTGAGAAACAGGAGGACGAGGAGGCGGAACGCCGGGCATGGCAGTGCAGTTGGTCTGAGAAAGAGGAGGACGAGGAGGCGGAGGAGGAGGAGAACGAGGAGGAGGAGGAAGAGGAGGAGGAGGAGAAGCAGGACAGATGAGTTGGCGGAGAGAGGAAGAGGAGAAGGTGGAGGAAAGAGGAAGTCGAGGAGGAAGTGGAGGAGGAACGAGGAGGAGGAGGAACGAGGAGGAGATGAAATGGAGAAGGAGGAGGCGAAGGAGCGGGGAGGAGGGCGAGGAGGAGGAGGGCGAGGAGGAGGGCGCGGAGGAGGAACGAGGAGGAGGAATGAGGAGGACGGAGCAGCAACGCGGAGGAGATAAGTAGGGAGGGGGGAGGAGGGGGTGGGAGGGGGGGGCGAGGAGGGCGAGGAGGGCGAGGAGGGCGAGGATGAGGATGGGGCCGCGGCCCGCGGCGCCACGGGCCTCCGCGCGCCCGCGGCGCGCCCGGCGGCCCGGGGGCCGGCGGCAGGCGCGCGCGGGCGCTGCACGCCGGGGCGCCGGGGCGGCGGGGCCGCGGGGCGCGGGCCGCGGGGGGCCCCGCCGCGGGGGGCCCCGCGCGGCCCGCATGCGCTCCTCGGGCCCACAGGGGCGGCGGGCGGGGGGGCAAGGGACGAGCAAGGTCTGGCGTCCGACGGGGCGGGAACTGGCCGCGCAGACATGGAGGGAGGCCCGTGCCTCCGAGACAGGGCAGTGCAGGCATGCCCAGCACACGCCGCTGACAAGCGCGCACAGGGCGCGCCGAGCTGCGCCAGTCCGAGGCGGCGAGCGGGGGGGGGAAGTTCGGGGGGAGCGAAAGGGGGGATAGCATTGTGGATGCCATGACAATGGACACTCGAACAACCCTACCATTGAAGTAAAGATGTGTTCAAATGGTGTAACGCATGTTCTAAAAACGTTTCAATCATCCTTTCACATGCTTGCATCATATTTGAAACATGTTTTAGACATCTGGAAACTATTTGGCAGCATGCTTCCTCTCCATTCATCGACTTCCACAAGGATAGCAAATGGTAGGGTAGAGACTCAGCTCACGTAGCTGCCTCCCAGCGCTGGTAGGCGCCCATGCATCGAGGACTGCGCCCGGCGGCGGGCCGAAACCAGCCGCGTGCAGCAGATTTCGTGCCCCCCCCTTTCCCTATCCCCCACTTTCTGAAGGGGAACTGGGACACACAAATAAATACACACAAATAAAAATATCCCCATATTTTCACATATTTTCTGGGTTTTTGTCTTCCCCCCCACTTCCCATATTTTCCCATATTTTCTGGGAATCGCCGATTAATTGTGTCTGTGTGTTTTTTCCCCTCCTGACTTTCGTTCGGCCCGAGAAGTGAGGAGGAGAGCGAGCGAGGGGGGGACGCTTCGGGTTCGGGGATCGGGGCTCGAAGTGCGAGGCCTTGGGGCGCTCGCGTCGGATCTCGGCGGTTTCCTGGCCTCGGGATGCCTGCCAGCAGCTGCGCCTCGCCAGGGGCGTTCGGGGGGTGCCCGGATCGTCCCGACTGGCCGCCAGAGACCCGAGTAACGACCCAATAATCTGGAGGCCACAAAGGACGTACACGCCCAGCTATGTACATGAACGCGGCCCCTCGATCCGCGAGACCGGCCGCGTTATACGAACATTTGCACAATGCGTACTCTCGAAACCAGCGTGGATTCATGTACGTGTACGTCCTTCTTTCGCTCCTGAAATAACTGAACTCGGTGGCGCGCCCAGGGGGAGGTGAGCAGGAGAGGGCCTTCTCAGAGGGCGGCGGGACTTCTCAGAAGCCCTCGTGCCTTCAGAGAGGCTTTGCTGCGTCTTCGGGGGAGGCATACTTAGAGAACTTCTCAGAAGCCCTGGAGAATTCCGAGCCTTCTGAGAAGACGTTCTCCTTCTCACTTCTCCCCCTCGCTCGCCGCCGACCCAAACCCAGGCAGGCCCTCCGATCCGACGCTGCGGGACAATTGCAACATATCTCGAATAAGCACTACCAAAGCCCTCGTGCATGAGAAAGCCGATACCACCACGAGGACCCCTGGGATCCGTTCGGGGTTCGAGGTTCGCGGTTTTCGGACGCTTTCGCCGGCATCTCGGAGACATTCCAGCATCAGGAGGCTCTCCAGCAGCTGCGCCTTGCCGAGGGCGTTCTGTGGTTGCCCGGATCGCCCCGAACGGCCGCCGAAGAGCCGAGGTATGACCCGAAAACCACAGGGAACGTCAGGGAAAGAACCCTGAGTCTGAGCATTGCCATCTCTACTGCCACGGGCGTGTGTTTCCCATCGTCGGGCCCCAAGATCATCACAGATCGAGCTGGCTCGAGAAATGCCGCAGAAAAAGTAAGGCCCCCGGCTCCGGTCGTGATTCTTCGCGTTGTTCTATTTTTCACTGCGTCGGATAAGGAAACGGCGCGGTGACAGACACTGCGCTGACCTCGAAAATCCCCCCAACGACCCCGCCGCACGGTCCGTCACCTCACGGTTTTCAGACCCTGAGACCCCAAACGCCCGAAACATCCTCGGAGAACGACCCGAGTCCGAAAAAACAGTGCGGTCACCCCGAATCCACATGGGCTCACTGCACAGTGCGGTCATTACACAGTTTGGCGGGCTCCAAAAACCCTGAACCCTGACTCCCAAAAGTGTTGCCATCCGTGCTTCACTTCCGCCGGCTTCCACCGCCGGAGGCGGCCTCTTCTTATTTCCGCCGCCTTCCGCCGGCCTTCCGCTGAGGAAGCGATGCCAGATGCCAACTCCTTCGATGCTCCATGGCTGAATGGGGCCCTGGGACACACAAATAAATAGACACAAATACAAGGATCCCCCATATTTTCTCATATTTTCTGGGTTTTTGTCTTCCCCCCCAATTCCCATATTTTCCCATATTTTCCTGGGAGTCGACGATTAATTGTGTCTGTGTGTTTTTTTTTCCCTCCTGAATGGCGAGGCCGTTTCTCTAACGCCTCCTTTGGGGGGCCCCGGAGCTCCGCCAGGCGCGCGGCGGTGGCCTCCGCGTCGCGGAGGCCCCGGGCCGCCGCCGCCTCCCGCCTGCGGGGGGGCGCCGAAGGACCGCGCTGCGAGTCCGGCGACGAGGAGCGAGGCAGAGTGGAGCCTCGCCATCGCTCGGGCGTCCATTCCGTGTGCTTTTTTTCCGGTTTCGTGCGCGGTTTTTTTTCCGCCAGATGATCCAGGATGCTCCTCGAGGGTCCCCCCCGAGGAAAACATGCACACGTCCGAGCGATGCCAAGGAGCTGGCGCCGCGGGAGCTTGCACGCATCGGGGAAGCCGGCCAGCCGCCCTCCAGAGTGGGTGCCAGCGCCTCGGGGTGCACGGGCGGAAGGGCATCCGGCCGTGAGCCGAGCGCGCCCGTCAGCTGTGCAGGGGGCGCTGGACAAAGAGCGTTATGGGTTCCTTCATCAGCGTGGGGGGTTATCCCCCCACGACGGGGGTCAACCTCGCCTCGTCGTCGCGCCGCGACGGGGGTCGGAGCGCCTGCGGCGCGCGGTGGCTGCCCGCGACGGGGGTCAATGTGGGGCTGTCGGCGGGGGTGACCCCCCCCGACGCATATCCAGAAACTCCGAGCACACAGTGTGCCTCTCAATGTTGCACAACGGCCGCTCGACGAGGGCGCATCGTCAGAAGCAACCCGGCGGCGTCGCGTGGATCCCGACCAGACTCGCACAACCTTTGCGCCCCGCCATTGGGAGGCGCACCTCCGCGCACCGAGCCTTGCACCACGCATCCTTCCACAGGCGGTGTGGCCAGGAAGCGCCCGCCGCCGAGCACACGCCGCACGTCTTCTCAGCGCGCGCGCGCGCCGCACCGTGGGGGGCCCGGAGCACACAGAGCACAAGCACGTCTGCTCCCCGTCGCTTGGACTTCCATTCCCTGTGTTTTGTTCGGACTCGTGCGTGTGTGTTTTTTCCTCGATGGCCCAGGATGGTCCCCGATGGGCCTCGCCGAGAAAAAATGCACACGCCCGAGCGATGCCAATAAGCACGTCTGGGTGATGCCACAGCTCTGACCAGCCGCCCCCTGCTCCAAGGGCATAACTCGGCGCTGGACAAACCTCCCTTTAGTAGACATCCCCTTCGTGAAAACGGCCTGGGACCGAAACCGACGGACCTGGACCCGCAAAAATGACGGCCGCGACGCCCTCTCGCGAACCGAAAACGGCCAATTAATTAATCGACGTGTCAGGGTAGGAGGTCTGTCCACCCCCGAATACCCTGGAGCCCCGCGGCTCCGCCAGGGTCTGCCTCCCCCCGCTGGTGGCTCTCCGCTGCTCGGCCGCGGCGGCAGGCCCCCCTCCTCGGCACTCCCGCGCCGGCCTGCCTGGTCTGAGCGGGCCCCGTCCTCCCCCTCGCTCGCTCGCTGTGCCTCTTTTCGCCGGCGTGCCTTCACTCGTCGCTTCCGGTGCAGCCCACCTCTGGCTCTGACAAGCGCCTGACTGCCTCGCACACCTCGGCGCTCGCTGTGCCTGGACGCCCGAGATGGGTACGGAAAGAATGGGTACAGTGCCCAGCAGCAGTTCCTGTTCATGTGGAACAGGATTCGCTGTCCACGCCGCCGCGGCCTGTGTCCATTCGAGACAGAAGGCCGCCTGTCCAACAGCGGCCGCTGTTGGTTTGGGACAACATTTGTTGTTGAGCATTGTACCCAGTTTTTCCGTACCCATTTCGGGCGTCCAAACTGTGCCTCTTTTGCCTGCGTGCCTTCATTCGTCGCTTCCGGTGCAGCCCACCACTGGCTCTGACAAGCGCCCGACTGCCTCGCACACCTCGGCGCCCGCGGCCTGACAAGAGCTTGGGAGATGCCGATACGGCGAGCCGTGAGTCCGAGGAGAGCATTGCCACGCTTCGGGTTCGTGGCTCGAGGATTCCAGTCCTCAGCGGCTTTTATGGGCCTCCGGCTGGTTTCCAGCGGCTGCGCCTCGTCAAAAGCACTCCAGGGAGGAAGGGGGGGGGAGCGATCATAAGAGAACAACCATCGCATTGGAAAAACAACCCTACTAAAGTTTTTCGCCGCTTTCGGCTTCTAAAAACCCTCGATGGGCCCTAAGACCGTCAAAGAACGACTCGAGATGAAAAGGCGGCCCCATGGGTCGGGACCTGAATGGGCCCTGGAAACGACACGGCCGTGTTTTTATCACTTCCGTTTTGCCGTTTGTTTGCCGGTTTCGACGCTGTTTTTTGACGGCTCCGTCGCCATTTTGTTTTACCAGTTGCAGCTCCGGTTTCAATCCTGGTTTCAATCCTGGAGTCGTTGTTTGCAAACGTTGTTGCCGTTGCCGTTTTCCCCGTTTTCACTTTCAAAAGACACTTTTTCGAAATCCGTGAAAAAGAAGCCCTGCCGTTTCCGGGGCCCACTGAGGTCGGGGCGTCAGGGGACCGCATATTGAAACAAAAATATTAGCCTGACGGACGGCCCAATCAGATGTAGTTGCGAGTGCCGTCGCTTTGAGTATCGCCTTCGGTGGATCTCCCCATGGGGCCACGAAACGCGTGAGGGATGTGCCTAAGTGGGTGGGACTGCCGCTTGCGAACTGCCACTGGGGCCTTCGGTGTAGCTCCCGATGGGGCCACGACACGCGTAAATGATGTGCCGAAATGGATGGGGCGGCCCAGTGCGAACATGGCCACTGGGACCTTCGGTGGAGCTCCGTATGGGGGCACGGATCGGTGCTCCCTGTGGGGCCACGAAACTGAGGGGTGTGCCGAAATGAATGTGGTTGACGCATACGGGCTATGCCACTGGCACCTTCGGTGGAGCTCCCAATGGGGCCACGAAACGTGTGAGGGCGCGCCGAAATGAGTGGGGCGGACGCATACGGGCTGCGCCACTGGAACCTCCGGTGGAGCTCCGTACGGGGTCCACGAAGCGTGTCAGGAGTGTGCTGAAATGGGAGGGGCGGAGGCATGCGGGATGCGTCACTGGAACCTGCGGTGAGGCTCCCTTTGGAGCCACGAAGCGTGTGATGGGAGTGCCGAAATGAAGCAGAAAAACGCATGTGGGCTGCGCCACAGGGACCATCGGTGGAGCTCCTTATGGGGCCACGAAGCATGTCAAGGGTGTGCCGAAATGCGAAGGGCGGAGGCATGCGGGCTGCGCCACTGGGGCATTCGGTGGAACTCCCTATGGGGCCACGAAACGTGTGAGGGGTGTGCCGAAGCTGGTGCGGCGAACGCATGCAGGCTGCGCCACTGGGATCTTCGGTTGAGCTATCTTTGGGGCCCGGGAACCTGTGAGGCTGTGCCGAAATGAATGGGGCGGAGGCGTGCGGGCTGCGCCACTGGGACCTTCGGTGGAGCTCCCTGTGGGGCGAGGGTGTGCGCTGTAATGGTTGACATGCGGAGGAGAGAAAGGAGGGGGAGGAGGAGTGAGGAGTGAACGCGGGGCGCTGTCTCTTGAAAACGAGGGCCCAACACCGGAGGACGGTCGGATCAAATTAAAAATTGGCGATGTGACAGATTCGATCCGAGCAAGTGTGCTCGGTGGAGGCCAGGTGAGTGGGGCGACCGCGCACAGCACTCTCCGAACGAGCTTTTTCCAGCCGAGCTCTCCGAGGAGTTCTGGGAAGGCCTGAGGAGGCCCAGCCGGCCTCTCCGCGGCACACCTCGCGAGGCCATGCAAAGCATCCCCGGGCAGCCCCAACAGCCAGAAGCTGCCGAGCGGGCCACGCCAGCCCTGGAACACGCCCGCGCCGGCATCGGAGCCCCGAGCCGAGAGGCGGGCAAGAGGTGGCGCACCCCCGCGAGGAAGAGCGCTCCGAAGGGTGGACCAGCAGAGGCGCGAAGAGCGCAAGGGCAAGACGAGAAGAATAACAAAACGCCACAAGCATAAACATTTGACGCTCCGCGCGGATGTCGCGGATCAGCGCTGGGCCCCCCTCTCCGCGCCAGGGGCGGCGGCGGAGGCGCCGTCGGGGGGGGGGGGGGGGGGGGCAAGCGCGGATCCGAGAAATCCGCGCGGAGCGCCAGAAGATTATGGTTATGGCGTTCTGTCCTTCTTCGAAAGATCAGTCGGCATCGACTCGGGAAATCGGTTCGGATCGGAATAAGCCTCGGGTCGGCATCGACTGGGTGCGGATCTAAACCGGATCGAGACCGAGACCGGATCGCATGGATCGGATCGGCATGGACCCTTCAAGGGGGTTGCCACTCCGAGTCTACACCCTGCGAAATGCTTTAGAAATCATGGGTTAAGAAATTCATAGTGTCAGAAATTGAATAAAACCCAGAACTTCTATCAAAATCTTGGGAATTCAATTGAAACAGTAAGAATAATCGACACTCTGGCCGAAAATGCAAGTTTTCTTGAGCATCGCCTAGGGTGTAGGGCTCGAATCGAGGAAAAGAGCAAAGCAGCACAAACGCAAACCTCCGAAGCTCGGAGAGCGGACTTCTGGGATCGACACTGCGCCTCCTGGCGGCGCCGCCCCCCTGGCGCGCTCCGAACGCCAGGGAATGGGGGTCCAGCGCAGATCCAATCCACCGTGCGGACCTCACAAAGCTGCATGATGCTTTTACTCCTCTACACCCTGCGAAATGCTTAAGAAATCATGGGTTAAGAAATTCATAGTCTCAGAACTTGAGTAAAAACCCAAAATTTCCACTCAAATCTTAGGATTTACATTGAAACATTAAGAATAATCAAGACTCTGGCCAAAAAAATAGGTTTTCTTAAGCATCGCCTAAGGTGTATCTTGATCCTCGTGCCGGCTGTATCAAGCCCCCCATCCTGGCATGGTTCAGGGCTGCGCATACTCGGGGATGGACAGCACCCCCGCGAGTGAAACGTGGTCTCGTGAAAACGACCTCGGGCCCAACCCTAGCGGGCGCAAGCCTGGAAAATGACGGCCGCGGCGCCCTCTCGAGAATCGAAAACGGACAATTCACCAATCGACGTGTCAGTGTGGGGGTTCTGCCCCCCCCCCCCCGACATACGGCTTTTACGTCGCGGCGCGGCAGGGACAAACCGCACGCACGCTCGGGGCAGGCCCGACAACGGCAGGCGTTAGAATTGTCCGGACGGCCTGCGCACGCAGAGCCGTTGGCCTGCGGGCATGGACTGCCCTCTGCCAGGAAACCAAAATAGACGCCGATGACCGCTAGTCCCCGAGCTTCGGACTGCGTTTTGACCAGGGTTTCAAGGCGAATCTGGCCGTGGCGACGGAGAGAGCCCAGCAAAATCAGTACCTCTTCCGCGTCCGATCGAAAGGCCTCCAGGCTGGCCCGGGGCGGTCACCCCTGCCACCGCCTCCCGCCTCGACCCTGCCCCCAGCTCTGGCATGCCTGCCACGACCATGACAGCGGCGACCACAACGGCGACGCCCACGACGACCGCGCCGCCCGCGAACGAGCCCACGACGACGACCACCGCCACCACCACAACCACCACGATGACACACGACGACGACGACGACGACCACGACCACGACCACGCCGACCACGACCACGACAACCTCAACGAACAACAACACCGGCGACCACAACAAGCAAAGACAGCAGCGACGGCGACCACAACGACGACGACGACGTCGTCGACGGCGAGGTCCACGACGGCGGCGGCGGCCGCGGCGACGGCGACCACGACGGCGGCAACCACGACGGCGAGCCACACGGCGGCAGGGAGGTCCACGACGGCGGCGGCAGCCCGCGGCGACCCGCGGCGGCGGCGGCGGCTGGCCTGCCGGCCTCGGCCACGGCGACGCCCAGCCGCTCGAGGCCCTGCTGGATCTGCCGCTGGAGCAGCATGGGGTCGTCGTCGTGGGGCTCTTCGACGCCCTCGCGCGGGGACGAGGAGACCAGGAGGCAGCTCGAGCTCTAAGCCGGCCCCGCCCCCCCCCCCCGCCGCCGCCCCCCCCCCCCCCCCCGGTCACGTCACGAGTCGCGCCGGCGCTGGCGCCGGCGCGAATCGCGGCGTGACAAGCCCCCATCCCCCCGCACGTTGTGAATCACCCCGGGCTCGTTGCCGTGGGGCTCTCCGACAACCTCGCGCAGGAACGAGGCCATAATCATGAGGAAAATCCTGGAGGCCTCGCGCGGCACCCTGAGACCCAATGCACGTCGGATCCACGTCGGTTGTACGTCGGTTTCACGTCTGATGTTCATAGGATTCACTTCAGATGTACGTCAAATTTGCGTCAGGGCATCGCCGCGCGAACGTCGCTCCGTATAGTGGGGCTCTTCGACGCCCTCGCACAGGGACGATGAAAGGCGACACCACCACCCCTACGTCAGAGCCGCATGCTTCATGTTGTTCATCAATGTGCTAATTATTTGAAACGCTGCGGGGCTCGCGCGTTCAGCATCCTAGAATGACTTTTCCTATGTCGCGTCGGAAGCCAGCAATGGTCCTATGTTGTATCAGAGGTCGCCCTAAACAAAGACGAGCAGCGCGGGGTCGTCGTCGTGGGGCTCTCCGACGACCCCGCGTAGGGACAAGGAAATTAGAAAGCAAATCATGGGAGGCCGTCGCAAGAACGATCCAAAGCCACCAAGCCGAGTTCAGGGGGCCATTCAGCCGTTTCAGCCCGGATGAAGCCCAATATTCAATCACATAAGGGCGGATGAAGCGGGATTAATCCGGACTGAACGGGCTCACGCCAGCATGGGGCAGGTTGACCAAAGATCTACCATACACCAGCGCCGCTGCTGAATGCACCCTCATTCTGCACCAGCGCCGCCATATACGGACATACCATCATACCATGCACGGGCGCCAGATTGGAGCCAGTTCGGCCACGGATATACCATAAACCAGCGGACATGTCATGTGCCATATACCATATACCTCGCAGGAGGTCCACCCTAAACAGGGACGAGCAGCGCAGGGGCAGTCGTCTAGGAGCTTCTATCCGTCGCCCTCACGCGCGCAGGGACACGCGATGGTGGCACCACCACAACCACCCAAACCTCCAGCGTGTTGAAAGTAATTGCCCCAGCTCAGCACCCCGGTAGCAGCCAAAGTGAAGAGGCGACTCGAGAAGTAGGCAGGGAGGGTGGAGCAGCAGGCGGTCGGCTGGTGAGAATGTGCACTCCGAGGTGTTCCTGGGGATTTCTAGGACACGCCCGATTTTGTGCACCTTAGTGTCTGTTCTTCCAGGGATCGTGGCCATCCGAACCAACAATCTAGCGGCCATTGGGGCGAGAGCAAGATTCAGGAATCAATTGAAGGAAATCTCAAGCGAAACGGCTGCCAGACCAGGCGGTCTAGGGACATGGTCCTTTTCTGCTACTGTGGAAATCCACTAGCGAACCGCTATTACGGACCAAGGGAAGGCGACAGCACCACCCAAACCTCCAACGTTTTGAGCACGTCAAGGCGAACGCCTCTTCTTACCGTCCGTGCCTGGGAAGTCTCGCTGGGCCCCGGGAGCCTCTGGAAACGGGCCCCGGGGAAGGGTCGGGACCTCTGGGAACCCCGCCTTGAAGAAATCAGGCTATGGGATGTCCACGAACGAACAGCACCCCCACCACCAGCGCGGTGCGCCAGGGAGCGTCCTCCTGGGGGTGTGGAACATTGCCTCCTCCCCCGCTCGAGACAGCCCCTTCCTGCCTCGGGGAGGCACCGTGGACCCCCTCCGCTGGCTGTGGACCCGCCGGGTGGGGGATGGCGCCTCGCCGCTCCCTCCCCCGATCGCGCGGGGGGGCAGACGCGGGCCGCGTCAACTCTCGGGAGATGGATTCGGATCGGGATGCGCGCCGGACCGGGCCGCAAGGGCACGGGGTGGGAATCGAATCGGGGCGGTCGCGCCCGTAGTCGCAGCACCGCCATGCAGGCATCGGACCGCCTCGCAGCTTCGGAAGACATCGGAACCGAAGCGGTCGAGCTGGCCGAGAACGATGTCGAATTGGATCGATCGGATCGACGTGCACCGAGGGGGGACTGGGGGAAGCGCAGGTGCCATATTTTTGTACACGGGGCGTGATCGCCGAATTTCGGGCGCCCCAGGATCCTCGCATATCGATCCAGCTCGAGAAACATTGCAACAAGATGGGGCCTATAGGGCTCAGATCGCGATTTATCAAGATGTTGTAGTTTTCATGGCAGGGGAGGAGGAGAGGAAGGCCGAGGATGGCTGGGGAGGACCGATCGGAGCTCAGGAAGAGAGGGCTGGGGCAGAGGCAAGGAGAGGGAAGACAAGGGGAAAGATGAACAAGAGCTGGAGGGCATGATCAGGACGAAGAGGAGAAGGGAGACGGGGAGAAGGAATGGGTGGGGAGGAGGAGATGGAGAAGGTGGCTGACCAGGAGGCCGATGTGGGCGACATGATGGGAAGGGAAGAGGCTCGACAGATGAGCAGGAGGACGTGGGGGGGGGGGCGCACCACCACCACCACACCACCACCTCCGCCTCCATCACCAACCACCTCCGCCACCAACCAACCACCCCAACACCTCCACTCCCAACCACCTCCGCCAATTCTGCCACCGACCGCCCGCGACACCTCCACTCCCACCCCCCCTTCGCTACCTCCACCGCCAACCGCCCCCACCGCTTCAGGACCCCCTCCACACCATCCACCCTCGTCACCTTTACCCCCACTTCGCACACCAGCCACGACTGGAGCGCGGGGAGCCCGTCGGAAACACGATCTCTCGATAGGGGTGTCGACTGCGATCCCCCCAAGGGGGCAACTAAGGACCACATCTCCCCAAGTTGGGGGTGGTCTGACCGAAATCTCCACCGTAGTGTTTTTACAGCGTGGACCTCTGGAGATCTCAAACCCCTCCACGGTGCTGTTCTTCTCACTCTGGATGTTTTTTGTTGTCACCAGGGACCAGGAAACGGCCTCCAGGGGCCGACAAATGCAAACAACATTAAATTCCGCCTTGATTTGTCGAGCACGTTGGATGTCTGGACTTCTGCCACTGTACATAACGAGGGGGCCCCAATCGCGGACTTTGCGGGACTTCCCGCTGGACTAGAAACTTTGGCCATATTCGAGAATATACATTGGAGGGGACGTCCGTCCTAGATATGGGTGCGTCCGCAAAGCCTCCCCCCGTGGGTGTATCCCCGAGTCGCCTCCCCGCATTGCTGGGAAATGCCTCGATTTTCGGGGTGGCGGGGGGTATGCCTTCCTACCAGACCACCCCAACCCGAAGAGCCAAATTTCGGGTATGACTCTCACGCGCGCCGTCCTGATGGTGCTTACGCCAGGGCGCGATCTAAACAGCGATTTCAATGTGAGTATTGGGTTCGTTTTCCCTTTGTTCTGTCTTCGTTCCGCCTCTGCTGCAAAGCTCAATCGAACGAAAATGGCCCACGAAATCGCCAAAACACCATTTAAGCTCGAACCCCGCTGCTCTTGAAAACTGACACACGCCACAGCTGCTCTGGGGTGGGGAGGCTCTGGAGGAACCACCTGAAAGTGTGCCGATACCGCAACTGCAGGGACAAAAGAGTCCTGACCAAAATCTCGAGGTAAGTCCAGCCGTGTCGGGGAGGGCCTCCCAGGAAGCCCGAAGGGCGAAACCGAGGCAAAAGCTGCGGTGTCGGTAATTACCGTGTCCTAAGTCTGACGACAAGGAGCACGTGGCCGAAGAGGTGCCTGCGAGACACAGCGAACCACGGCGACGACGACGACAAACCACCGCCAGGGCACCCAGACATTCCACGATCTGATGTTGCCAGTCCCGGGGCTGATTCGCGCCAGATCCGTTTCTGATAGCCCTGGGGCCCGAGTGAGGGCCCCCGAGCCCGCAATCAAGGAGGGACGCCCGGATCTGTTGGAGGCCTGGAAATGGGCACCAACACCAACACAAGGGGTTGCCTTCACAGGGGGAAGATGATCCTCGACTTCCGTGTTGGTGGTAATATGTCGGCCACCTTGGAAGACAAAATATTACCACCACCACCGAGATCGGGATCTTCTTCCCTCGGTGGAGGCACACCGCCGAAATTGGTGTTGGTGTCAACCTCTAGGCCTGCGATTCTAACAAAAACACAGATCGTCGGAGATCTGGGTTGCCTTCATGACGCTCATCGCAACATTCGGGTCACACCTCGGCTCTCAAGACGATCTGGGCACCCCCGCAACGAGCTCGACGAAGCGCAACCCTTGACATCCCGCGGGTTGAGGGAAACATGCCGCCCAACATCTCGCGCCCACGTCTGCACTATGTGCGACAAGGCCCGTGACCGGCCCCGTCCCCCCGCCCAACCGCGGGTCCCGTCACGATTCGCGCCAACGCCGTGTGGGCATTGGCCATTCCCAAACAGCGCCGGCGCGACCCGTGACGGGACAGGCCCCCTCCCCCCCCTCCGCCTCCCCTCCCCCGTCACGCCCGCTAGCCCCAGGGAGTGCGGAAAGGTCACCCTGGAAGGTGATGCACGGCGGCGACCTACCGCATAGCCGGCGCTGGAGTGTTTCGCAGCACGGGCCCCCGGCCCCTCGACCAGTTCCCCGGGTCTGGTTTTGCATCCCGAGCCGTGTTCTGACGGCCCTGCGGCCTGGTAAGGGCCCCCAGGGGCCAAGAACGATGAAGAGCCTTCGTCTCGAGAATCCGCGCCGAGCGAGGGGGGTGAAGTGCGAAGGGGAAGGCCTTCTAAGGAGGCTCGGAAGTCCCCCACCCTGCTGAGAAGTTTTCTAAGCCTTCCCCGAAGACACAGGAAACCTCTCAGAAGGCGCGAGAGCTTCTGAGAAGTCCCGCCGCCTTCTGAGAAGGCCTTCTCCTTCTCACTTCCCCCCCTCGCTCGCCGCCGCGAGTATTTCGAAACGCCGGATGTCTGGAGACGACGACCACTGTCGCCGCCAAAGCTCGGTCCAAGAGGGCGGGGGACACAAATCATGGCCGACAGCATGTGCGCGGCCCAAGGGGGGGAATTGCAGGAACATAATGAAATAAGAACAGGCGCCACGAAATCTCAGGACATATCCAGAATCTAGAGGCCTCCTAGATGGGATCGGAGTAGATGTGGTCGGAGGATCACGCCGCATCGCCGATGCATCGGCGATGCACCGGCGATGTCGGCGGTGCATCGGCGACGTCGGCGTGGAGAAATCGGACTGCACATCGCGCCGCATCGCCGATGCATCGGCGATGCGGCGCAATCCTCCGACCCCATCTGCTCCGACCCCATCTGGGAGGCCTAGAAGACCATGGCCCTCGCCATGATGTCCACGCCCCCAGTAGTCACCACCCCCCCTCCTTGTCGCCCCCGGAAAACCCGTCAGCGGCACCGCAACTGGCACTCACTAACGGGTACTTTGAGCAGTGTTGCCGACCGTTGCCACGAGTAGGGCCTCGCTCTGGCACTGCAGCGCTGCCCACGTCGGCCAAAGGGTTGGGCTCGCCGGGTCACTGGCCAAAGTACCCGTCAAGGGCGTCCCCTTCCCAGACCACCGACGTCATGATTTTTTCATGACGCGCCCCCCAGAGGTCCCCGGACCCCTTCCCCGGAACCGGCTTTTCATCCCGAGTCGTTTTTTGACGGTCCCGAGGCCCGGTAAGGGCCCCCGGGGGCCGAAAATAGCGAAAAACCTCCCGTCGTGATTTTTTCACGACCCGAGGGCGTCCCCTTTGGAAGGGCGCTGAGCACGCGCGCCGCTCGGCCGGCCGGGGCGCCTCCGGCACGCCGGGCCCCGCGGCAGCGGAGGCGCCCGCGCCCTGCGGCGTGGCGGCGGCGCGGCGGGCAGGGCGCAGGCCGACCTGGGAGGGGGGGCAGCTCCCAGGAGGTCCTTCGTCCAAGCGGTCTGATGAGCGTGTTTTCCACCACCACCACCATAAGTTGGAGGGGGGGGTCCTCCTCCTCCTCCTCCTCCTCCTCCTCCTCCTCCTCCTCCTCCTCCTCCTCCTCCTCCTCCTCCCTCCTCCTCCTCCTCCTCCCCCTTCGCCCCATCCAACTTATGGTGGTGGTGGTGGAAAACGCGCTCATCACGGTCGGTGGTCGTGGGTGCCACTGGGGGGCCCCAGGGGGGCCTCGGGGGGTCTCCTGGGAGCCTCCTGGGAGCCTCCGGAAGGGCATCGTCGGGGGCTCTTCTTGGCGCTCCTGAGCGCCCCTCTGGGGCCGTCGTGGGGGCACTCTGGGAGCTTCGGTGACCGTCTTGGGGCCATCTTGGAGGTTATCTATATATATATACACATATATATTATATATATCAACGGAGGAGGGCTCCTGACCTAGGTGGGGACAAAGTCCACATCCACCACATGTGGTAGGGACGTCCTTTTGCCCCAGCGGGCAGCGGATATGGATAAGTTTAGCCCGTTGGGCTCGACACATAATATATATAATAAAGAAGTATATATATATATATACTTTGTCTAACTGATCACATAGCTAGACATTCTTTCTGGGAGAAAGAATAACATTGTCCACGATTCCAAAGGCGGTGATTATGGATAAAGTCCCCCGCCTCGGAGCCAAAGGCGAAGGGCTCTCGAGTCAGGCTGAGGCGCCATCGAACATTGGCCCAGACTAAACCCAGGAATAAGCTGGATTAAGCGGGATTCGGCGGGATCCATCGGAATCAAATGGGATTCAACTGGAGGGAATCGGTTTTCAATGACGGATATGCAAGCTCCGATGCTGAAATATACTCTCCCAGGAACGGTTCGTGCACGTATACATACAGATGTATGTGTATGTATATATATATATATATATATATATATATATATATATGTATGTGGGACCTGGCGTATTCGCGCACCACTACCACAACGCGAGGTGCTTTTGTCCCCTTGGAGGTCTCCGGAACCACCCATGCATGATTGCAACATTTTTTTCTGGGGGGTCGGGAAGGGGTGGGCTTCGACCCACCTTCTTCTTGGCCAGGACCCATATATACACATGAATACACGTGCTCTCCGCCCCTCTCACCAGGCTCCCCTCACAGCCCCCCCGCCCCAGATTCGAAACCAGTGGGGGGTGTGCGACAGAACGGGAGGGAACAACAAAAACAAAGCTTTTTTGTTGCTGCCCCCCACCCACCCACCCCCGACCCCCCTCGACCATACCACCACTCAAGGGGGGAGGAGGGGGGCAAACCCTCTTGTCCCACCCACCTCCCCCCTTGGCCTGGGGATATGTCGGCGCCGGTGCTAGAAGAACGAACCTCTGTATACACGTAAACCTTCAAAACTCCCCCGCGGATTTCTTGGATCTGCTCCGGGATCCCCGTTCCCTGGTGCGCGGAGCGCGCCCAGGGCGGCGCCGACGGCGCCGCCACGGGGCGCGCGGAGCTCCGAAAGGCTCTGTGCATGCAATTTTTTGTTGCTCGAAGTTTTCGACCACGGACATGCCAGCGCCGATGCCAGGGGATCCCAGAATCGAATCGACAAGTCGGATCGGCGATCAAAATAAATCGGATCGGCGGAAATCGGCAGCCAAGTCGAATGAAGTCGAATCGGCAGAAATCGGCAGGCTAGTAGGCCTCCATTGAGGCATCGGAATCCACATCGAAACCCGAAGTCGAATCGAATCGTAATCGGAGGCCCTCGAAATCGAATCGAACCGAATGGGAGGAATCGAAATGAGTCCTGTGGATTTTGAGCTCCCACGAGCTGCACCCGGAGGCCTCGAGGGCGACGGCGCGCACGGCGGCCAGCGTGGCGGCGGCGAAACGCCGGTGGCCAGCGGCCTCGAGGCGGTCGTTGAGGCTGCCGTCCTCTGCCGGGGAGGGGGCCCTCCACGCAAGGGGGGAGGAGGAGGAGGAGGAGGAGGAGGAGGAGGAGGAGGAGGAGGAGGAGGAGGAGGAGGAGGAGGAGGAGGAGGAGGAGGAGGAGGAGGAGGAGGAGAGTGAGAGGCTCTCTCTGGGGGCCTTCCTGGCAGGGCTCGAGCTCGACAATATTTGCTGGTCTCGATGTGTGCGCGTTGTCCCTCTGTCCGCCTTCGTTCCGCCGTTGCGTCGGCTGCAAGCAAAGAAGTGCCCCCATGCAAGAGTGACCTCTGGTGCCTGGCTTTTGGGAGGCCATTGGGGGGGGCGCAAACACAAGAGCGCAAGACGCTAGTTACTACCGCATCGCGTTCGGCGACCAGGGGACCCCATTGGGCCCGCATCAAAGGTCACTCCGGCCAAAGGTCATTATTACGTCTAGTCTTAAGTCGGGCACGTCTCTCTACAGGATAAATGCGTAAACATAGTACTTTTGAGCAATAATATGGGAACGGTGTTTCTATTATGTTTTGAGCATTGCTGAATATGATTTGAGTAGTTTTCATTCTTCGTCCAAAATCCTCATGTGGGAGGACACGCCCGACCTATGTCTAGTGGGTTGTCTCGAAACAAACTCAAAACAAGAACGGTCCACGAAATCGTCGAACAAACAGCTCAGCTCGCGCCCTGCCGCCTGGAGGCACTCGCTCCTACTCGTGCGGCGAGCGTCGCCCTTGGTGGTCGAGCTAGAGTCGAACTGGAGTTGACCTTGACTCGGCGGCGAGCGAGGGGAGGAAGTGAGAAGGAGAGGGCCTTCTCAGAAGGTTCCGAAGTCCCCCAGCCTTCTGATAAGTTCTCTGAGCCTTCCCCGAAGACAAACAAGCGCTTCTGAGAGGGCGCGAGGGCTTCTGAGAAGTCTCGCCGCCTTCTGAGGAGGCCGTCTCCTTCTCATTTCCCCCCCCGGGCGCGCCTCGCAGGAGTCCGAGGCGGCCGGTCTGTCACCAGAACGTGGCCTCCGACGGCCAGACATGCTCGCGCCGTGCACAACATCACGATGATCAAGATGTGTCGGCCGCTTGGGGCCTCTGGTCGGGGCGGATTGAATGGGGGGGGGGGGGGAGGGGGAAATGGGGGGGGGGGAGGGGGAGGGGGGGGGAAATGGGGGGGGGAGAGAGGTGCGCTTGCATCCGTCGCTGCCCTCCCATGTCTCGCCCCCCACGTCGCGGAACCCAATCTGGGGGCCCTCGCCGGGCCGCGGGGCCGTCGAGGAGCAACGCGGGATGAAAAGCCGGCCCTGGGTTGGGCGTCCGTCGCTTTACGGGGGTGCGGCGAAAAATACATGGAGGAAACAAACCACACGTGGGGAAAAAAACACTGTGGGAAAAAACGCGCACACACACACACATACACACACACACACACACTGTGGGACAAACACACACACACACACACACACACACACTGTGGGAAAAAACACACACAAAAACACACACACACACACGCACACTGTGTGTGTTTTTCCCACACACACACACTGTGTGTTTGTTTTGGTCCCTGGGCCGCGACCCCGTGGATACGGGCCGTGGTTTCGCGGCTGCCCCGCGCGGAACTGGCTTCGACGCTGGTTTCTGACTTCGACGCTGGTTTCTGACACTGCGGAGATCGCGCAACCTTTATGTCGGGCTTGTCCCCCTACAGGGGGATTTTCGACGAAAGTTATCAAATACACAAAAAATACTCCAAAAAGGTCTAAACATAATCAAAAAATAGTCCCTGGATTATTTTTGGCTTATATATTATTATTTGTGGGTATTTCTTATTTTTCCTCGAAAATCCCCATGTAGGGGGACAGGCCCGACATAACGCAACCTGGAACGATCGGCCGTCTCCGAAACGTCAGACCGTTCCACAGCGATCGATTCTGGGTTGCCGGCGGCGTTCAACGCTGAACGCCAGCGGCGGGGGCGCCGCTGGCCGACGCGACGCGAATGTACCGTAGAGAGGTTTGGGACCCCGCGCATCCATCAAATCACAAAGCCAAGACGTCCGGCGATACGACGTTTGCAATGCGCGGCCTCCAGAAGGTCCCGACCCTTTCCCCTGGACCAATGTTTCGCCCCGGGATGATTGTTGATGGCCCTGGGACCCGAAAGCAAGCCCCGCAGGTCTCCTCCACCTCCTCCTCCTCCTGATCATTCTACTCCTCCTCCACCCTTCTCCCTCCTAAAGTCTTCTCGAAATCAATCGTGGGACCCCTCCTTCTAGGGTCCATCTTGGTCAATTGCTCGTCCTGTTTCGCTTGTTGACGGTCCTGGGATTCCTGATGGGATCCCCAAGATGCCAGAACTTGATAGGGGCCCTTCGGCGCGAGAACGCGCAGAATGCGAGGGACCCTGGTGCGCAGAACGCGCCAGGAGCGATGCTGGAGGCGCCGCCAGGGGGGGCCCTGCGCCAATTCAAAAACTTCGAGTGGATGTCCAAAAGTTCATGTACATGCAGTTTGGTTGTTCGATTCTCTTCCCCTATAGAAGTGGAAAGATAGGGACAGTGGTGGAAAACGTCATCGGAGACCTGGAAATGTCTACCTGGAAACGTCGACCTGAAATCGGCCCTGGCTTGCGAAACGCCATGTTCCTGGGTGGGTGAGAACATCACGCTCCTATCGGCGACCAATGGGCGATTCGGGGTCAATGCATCCCCAGCCCGAGCCCCTGAGCCTATCTTATGTTGAATTCAAGGGGGACTACATCGGCCCACCTGAACCGTCCATCTACGCCACATCCGATGCCATCCGAGACTAGCCGAGACCGTTCCCTGTCTATTCGAGGCAATTCCGGGGCCATATGGGCGCCGAAAAATGCAGTAAAAGTCGGGACAGATGTCCTCCACATGTTCCAAATGACCGATCCCCACGTACCATCGTACGGAGGAGTCGGGTAGAGTCCTGAAGTAGAAGGGCGTTGCAACCAGATAGGATTTCCGCCTAAGGGCGTTGCAACCAGATTGAATTTCCGCCCACCTCCTGAGCAGGAAGGAAGAGGGCAAACCGTTCGACTCTTGAAACAGGAAGGCGCCCAGACTGGACCGGAACCAGGAAGCCCAAAAAACAGACCTACGTGCAACGAACCGTGTGCATCGCACCTGTGGAGGGTAACGGTTGGGGGACCAGCTCGGGGGAGAAACCCTCGACCCCCAGAGGGCTGGACCCTTTCCCCATGACCAGCTTTGCATCCTGAGTCGTTTTTTGACGCTCCCGAGGCCCGGTGAGGGCCCCCGGAGGCCGAAAATTAGGAAAAACAGCCCGTCATGATTTTTTCATTACTCGAGGGGGTCTGGGGTCTGTCGGCGATGCATCGCCGACAGATCGGCGATGACCCCCGATAAGAGAATCGCAACGCCCCTGCCGGGCGGGACGTCGGGCCCGCTCCGGCGAGGAACGGGGGGGGGACTGCGGGTCGATGCATCTGCCCCGTGGGCCCCCCCCCCGGACTGGCCATCGCTCGGACGTCCACTCCCTGTGTTTTTCGGTAGCGTGCTCCCATCCTCCTCCTCCTCCTCCTCCTCATCCTCCTCCTCCTCCTCCTCCTCCTCGCTCCCATCCTCCTCCTCCTCCTCCTCCTCCTCCTCCTCCTCCTCCTCGCTCCTCCTCCTCGCTCCCCTCCTCCTCCTCCTCCGTCTCCTCCTCCTCCTCCTCCTCCTCCTCCTCCTCCTCTTCCTCGGTCTTTTCGCTAAATGATCAAGGATGTTCCTAGATGGTCCTCGCCGAGGGAAACATGCACACGTCCGAGCGATGCCAAGCACGTGCCTGCCGGGTCGTACCTCAGCCTCAGCTCTGCGGCGCCCGCTCGGGGCGCTTCTGGCACCCCCCGAACGCCCTCGACGAGGCGCAGCTGAGGGCGACCAGCCCGGGCCTCGATCGGCGGTGGACAAACCTCCCTTTAGTAAACCTCCCTTTAGTGAAAACTGCCTGGGGCCGACACCGACGGACCTGGACCCGCAAAATGACGGCCGCGACGCCCTCTCGCGAACCGAAAACAGCCAATTCCTTAATCGACGTGTCAAGGTAGGAGGTCTGTCCACCCCCGACTCGAGAACGCTCGAAAACTTCCGCAAACCGCCTGCAAAGACTTCCGAAAACCGGCTCGCTGCCCCGGATCTCGGGGCGGAAAGGGAACGGAGAAGGATGAGGAAGAATGACAGGAACAGCAGCAGGAATGCTCCCACCTATCTAGGGGCATCCCCGGGATGCAGTCCAACTTGAATTTCGCAAAAGACCCCAGCCGTGGCGACGAGAACTCTCCAGGACGAGCAGCGGTGCTAGTACCTGTACCCTTTCCTCCTCTGGTTATCCTTGCCCATCCTCCCCCCGGGGCCCAGGGGTCCTCAACGAGCCACAGCAGCTCGCAAGCGCTGTGCACGCCCAGGGCTTCCAGCTTGAGCGAGGCCGCCGCCAGGTCGCGAAAGCGGAGAGCCAGCACCCACGCACGCCTCCTCCGAACTGCTGGCTCTCCTTCTGTCACTAGCGGGGCCCAGGGGGACACAAATAAATCGGCACGTTCCCCAACGGTGCTTGTGCTTAGGGGTTCGTACTTCTCCTCTGAAGATCTGAGCCTGTCTTCCGGTCTGGCGGCTACGTTGCCGCCGTCGCTGCCCCGTCGCCGCCTTGTCACTGCCCGTCGTCTGGGCCTGTCCGTCGGTCTGGTGGCTATGTTGCCGCCGTCGCCGCCCCGTCGCCGCCTCGGATGCTGTCACCGTCGCCGCGACGTCGCCGCCTCGCATAGATTGCACCGCATAGACTGCAGCGCGCAGATTGCGCCGCATAGATTGCACCCATATATTGCACGACATGGATTGTACCACAAGGGTTGCACACCATGGATCGCATAACATGGATTGCACCGCATAGGTTGCACAAAAGAAACTGGGCCACATACATTGCACCATGTAAACTGCATCGCGTAGATTTGACCACGTATCTTGCACCACATCCATGTACTGCACAACGCAGATTGCACCACATACATTGCACCATATACCCACCCACATGTACATAAATAATTCACGACATAGATCGCACAACGTAGATCATACAATACAGATTGTACCGCGAGGGTTGCACGCATATATTGTAAAGCAGGGATTGCACCAAATAGATTGCCCCATCGATTGTTCCACAGAGCTTGGACTCCATAAATTGCACCACATCTGCTCCACTACATAGATCCGGCAACGTAAATTGCACCGCATAGATTGAAACACAAACATTGGCCCACATACATTCCAGCACATATATTGCATCGTTGCATGGCAAGTGTAGATTCGGTGGGTCTGTGCCTATTTCTGAGTAGCAAGCGTCATGATCGTCACCGTGTCCATCGACAGGGTCGTCGCCATCGCCATCGTCTTACAGCAAACTCGTGTCGGGACAACACTGGCGCTGGTTTGCGACACCGCGTGGATCCTTCAACCTTGAACCATCGGCGGCTGTCTGATCGCCAGACCGATCCATATCTGCTGTTTCTGGGCCACCAACGGCGTTCGACGTTGAATGCTGGTGGCGGGGTCGCAGCCGCGTCGACACGACATGAGTCTATCAGAAGCATCATCGTCGTCGAATTCATGGCCGTCCTCGACGACATCGTCGCCATCCCCATCCCGTCCCCGTCATCAGGATCATGCATCATGGATCGTAGCCGTCAAAATTGGCAGCATCATCCCAAGCATCATCATCATCATCATCATGATCATCATCATCACCATCGTCATCAACATCATCATCATCATGATCATCATCATCAGCAGCATCAGCATCATCAGTGTAAGCATCCTCATCCTCATCCCCATCACCATCAACATCACCATCATAAGCAGCAGCAACATCATCATTATCAGCAGCAACATTCACCAACCACCAATCATCAAGCACCAATCATCATTATATCTCACATCATTAGCAGCAACAGCATCATCGTCGTCGTCGCCACGATTCTCATCATCGCCAACACACACACACCACATTCATCGTCGTCA